TCCGTTGCTCGTTTGGAAAAATATGCCACTGGGTGGAAACCTGACCCCTCTTGTCTCTGCAGAAGTATTGAGCCAAACCCATGTGAACTAGCATCACAGTGAAGTTCTGTTTCCTTATGAGGACTATAGATTGACAATACAGGGCTTGATGCTAACTTTTCTTTCAGGGTGTATACGTAATTGATTTAATTTCCATCTTAATCTGGTAGAATCCTGATTTTAAATCTAGTACACTAAACATTTGTTTCCCTCCTAGGTACTCTAAGCAATCTTCAATTAATGGTAGTGGATAATTATCCCTGGCGATAAGTTTGTTTACGTTCCTATAATCAATACACATCCTCGTTTCTATAGACTTTTTCTTCGTTAAAACAATTGGAGATGCGTACGCTGATTCACTTGGCCTTCTAATTTTTTTCGCTAGCAATTCTTCGATGATTCTATCTACCTCGTTTTTCTCTGCAAACGAAAGTCTTCTTGGTCTGGAGAAGGTTGGAATGTCTGATATTAAAATGATTCGCGCTTCGTACTCACAATCGGGCAATTCTTCAGTTACTTTTTCAATGTATGTTGTTTTCAGCATTTTTTCGAAACGTTTCACATAAGTAACCGATAACCTAGGGTTCATATCAAAATTTCCCTCATCTTGCGTTATCCCTATTTCACAGATATTAAACGATTCGTTTCCCAAGTTTTCTTTTCCTTCAACAATTTTCACAATTTTCGTATCTTGTACTTCAAGTTTGTTTTTATTTAATTCATTTTCACTTTCTATACACCTATCATTAAGGATTTTGGAATTATATTTATTTCCGTGTTCTACACGTTTGTATAAACTTATATTGAATAGTTTCAAAAAATCATTTCCTAGCAATAATGGAAATGGTAATATTTCGTCTGATAATACAAAAAGCGGTAAGGGTTTGATGGTATTAGCATATTTAATTGCTACATTAACTTTCCCAAAATATTTTAAACGTTGGTTGCCCAGTCCTCTAAATTGCGAATTTACTTCGGTGTGTAATTTAAGTTGGGGATTCGCAGATACAGCCATTCATGCACATTCATAATTTCTATTAAAAGCGACACTCACCCATTCTCTACTTTCTACGCGTTCAAAATCAGCTTCCCTTTCAAGAGCGGCGACTACTTTCAGTGGGCAGTTTACATATTGGTGATCCGTCTTACGGCATTTAAAACATGCTCCTTTTGGACGTTTTTCGTTCGGGCACTCGGATGCATAATGGCCATATTTCGTACAATTATAACACCTTACGTCTGCACGCTGGGGAACCGCTGCACTCGTTGTTTTTACCGTAGCTGCCTGGACTAGTTTTTCGTATTTAGGCAAAAGTTGCTTCAATTGCTCGATGGTGGATACGTTGGAAAAAATGAAGCTATTTGCCGACTTGTCTCGCAGCCCATCCACTATGTATTCGACGAGCTCTGCTTCACTAACCAATGCACCCATAGCGATTTCTTGCATTGTTAACACATAGAAATGGAGAGTCTCCGATTTTCTGTCCCAAGCTCGAGACTCCAATTTCCTAAAAATGTCTCTGGCATTTAATGTTCTGCCAAACTCCTTCAGTAGCATAGTCTTCAACTCGGTCCATGACGAAAACGTTATGGTTCTTAGGAGCAATTGAGCACTCCCGGCCAGCACTCTACGAGCGAGTAGCAATTTTGTTTTCTCGTTGCAACTATAGGTTTGCGTTGTCAGCTCGAAGTCGGCCACCCATTTACGAATGCCATGATGGTTGTCTCCACTGAATTTCTCAATCGAGCGTTCGATGTCATTCAGGCTAAAAGCTAATTTTCGCTCGGTCGAATCTCTGATCTCCATTTCTTCCAATTCTCGTCGTAGCTTGCAAATACGCAAGCGTCGTTCCAAGTCTGCTTCAATTCGCGCTAAATCACCGGCGTCGCTTTTGTCGGTTGCCGCCGTTCCTCATGTTGCTCACGACCGCCATTTTGTATGCCCACCGCGTCACCGTTCTTTTCAGAAATGGCGACGTTTGTTACCTGAGTACCCCCTGGATTTTGAGCTACCGGAGCAGTACCCACTACACCTTCCAATGGTGAACGTAGCTGCGAAATTGTAGCTGTCTCAGGGAATTCAACCCCCATGTCTCTCAGGGCTGCTATTACGTCCTCTTTCGACGCCATATTTTACTAGTCACTTCTTCAGATCGCCTTCGGTACTCTTAAGTTGCCTTTTCCTTAGCTTCCGTCCACTTAAGTTGCTTTACTTCTTAAGTTCTCAAGTTTTATAAATTCACTCCGGACACGATGTATTTTAGGTATTTTAAATTATTAAATTAATACTGTTCGGTCCACACCTGAGCTTTACCAAATAAACGACCGCTTTCGATAAGTGTTCAATCATCAATCCTCTTTATTTCAATGGCCTTCGACCAGTGTTGCCATCTGGCCCCTATATTAGTAGTCTACAGGGTTGCATTAGCATTAAACTAGTAGGTTGCCACACACTAAATATGTTTATAGAGTGTACGGTATTTGTCTACGGTAAATTAAAAAGGGGAAATTCAGTTCACCGTATTTTTTACGGAAATCCGCTAAACTTTGCAAAAATATGCGTATATGTAAGTATGAATGTTTGAGTAACTCACTTTGGCATTCCGATGTACAAACTCTTTTTTTCGTGTGGTGGGCTACTGTACCGGTGACTAGCCTGCTGCTATGCGGTACCTTCTGTCGCTACAGCGCCCAAGTTTCCATCTGTCTGTTGTTGTTGTTGTTTCGGTTGCTGGTGGTGCTCCGCTACAGCTGTCTCAACAGGTGCTTCGGTGGCTGGCTGTTGCGCTGGAAGATGGTAGCTGATGCGGTGGAAGGTGGTTGGTGCTTTTATTTGCACCACTAACACAATTTTTTACTTCTATTTGCGAATTTATGTTCTTCGTTGCACTTTGTTTTTGTTCGTCACTACTTGTTTCACTGTTTATGTGTTTTTCAATGTTCAATTTTTGAGTTAGCAATTAATGTTTATTAAATGTTTTCAGTTTTCGTTTTTTTTTTCTCACCTTTCACTGTCCGCTGTTGTGGAATGATTTATTTTATTTTTTTTTTAACGTACCGCGCGCCGCTCGCAATCGAATAACTTTTCGTTTTTCTTTATTCCCGAAATTTTGAACTCACGGAGAAGTATCTTTTTTAATTGTTTGCAGTTAATAAACTATTTGTCGGAGATAATCAGTTAAGGTATCAAAATGTGCGTAATTACCTCCACGAGAGTGTGAGATACGATTAAAATAAAAAAAAAAATTTGCATCAAAAAATCGCATTTTTTTATTAACTTCATCATGTTTAATTTTTTTTTTTTTCAACCTGAATAGAAGACGCTTTTCGAGGCTCTCATCCCGATAAACTTGATCATTCATTGTCCCGGATGGGAAAAAAGGGCTACTCTTACGGCCACAGGAACAAATAGCTTGCCAAACCATGTTGTTTTTTGGAAATTTGGACTTCATTTTCAACTTACAGCTTTCAGGGGCATCTTGACGACTGCAATACATTTTGAATTTTTAAAGCAGTAGGTTTCGTAGTCCATAACAATGCAGTTGTATTTTTTAATTTGGAATTCATACAACTTCCGACCGCGGGATTTCGTTGTAACATTCTACTTTGCGCCTCAGTCTGGCGCTGTTTGAGCTGTAGAACATCTCAATGAAGCTTTCCGCTTTACCTTTTGTACGAAAAACTGCGATCTCCGTACGGATTTTACTGAGGATCTTCCGAGCCCTGTTTTTATCACTTTGACCATGCTAACACCCGCTCCCTGGTTTTCTCGTAACTGCCAGGCCTTATTTGTACCGATTAAAACCCTGCAAACTGTCGAATAGTGCAATCTTAATTTTTTAGCAATTTTACGTGTACTTAAGGCCGGATCATTTATAAACTCGTGTAAAATGGTTTGTCTCGGTTCTAACTCGGTTCAACTAAGGTCATGGTCAACTTATGGTATTTGAATTTCGAAATATTGAAATCTTTTTGGGTAAGTTATAAGCTTCCCAAAGTGTCGCAGTTTTGGTGTGTTCACCCTTTATATATATAAAGTAAAGGTTAACTAATTAATTATTCATCATCATCCATGTCTTCGACAGCATATGTATCATGGAGTACAAACCTTTTACTACAATTTTGAATCGCTATATCTCAGATATGGTTATCCTTAGGAAGAAAAATGTTATAACAGTTTTTAGAGATAACTGTATGATCTACACTTCCGTTCACTTATTTTTATGATAAACCTTACCGTTTTGCTGGAAAACTCAAAAAATCGACCTTTGACCTTAAATACATTTTTTTGCAGACGTGGGATCGATGGGGACTTTTGAAATTTCATTCATAATAGTGTTCGCAAAATTCGTACCAATTTTCGACGAAAATTTAGCGTAAATCTTCAAATAAGGCAGTGGCACCTGGTAAATTCCACTATGGGTGGGATGCATGCAATACCACCATACACAATAATTCCCATTACTTGGACATTAAAAAGCAGTTTTAGAAGTGAACTAATGTTATTTTATTATTTTTCTTTTTTCAAAACGGTTATAATGCCACCTGTGCATAATTGCGAAAGGAGGGAAGGAGGTGCGGGACGCGAGCGCGAGCGCGACGTCGAACGCGGCGCGGCGCGCGAACGCGGACCGCCGCGACGCTGGGCTCTTTCAATATTGTATACTTACAAATCCGTCCATTTAACTTGTTCATGTACTACTTTTGATCAAATGTAACTGGGTGACTGACTACCTACATATGTGCACTATTTTGCTTTATTACTCAATTGTTAAGTTTAAAAGTTGGTCTTATTGCTCAACAAGAAATGAAATAAAGCAAATTTGTGTTATTTCACATTCAATTGGGAAATAACACAAATTTGCGTTATTGCCGTTTGTGTTATTTCACCCACCCCCCCGCTCTCAGTTCGTTACTGAATCTTTAAATTTTTGTGGTATTTAACACAATATCATACTTACTTAAGTCCAGCTATTCCTCGAAGGGCGCAATACAAACGCATTAAAACCACACCTTGAACTGTATAATCTTCACCGCTTTCAGGATTTAAGGATTGTTGTACGTTTTCTTGCAATTGTTGCAGAAGTTCGTATCGTACCAAGCTTAAGGCGTCGCTCTTCCTTTTTTGACTTGAGCGAATGTAAATAGCAAACCATGTGCGCACATTTTGATCATTTCCCAGCAGCATGCCCGTCAGGAAGGCAATCTAGTAAGATAAATTTAATTACTTTATTTTTTTCAATCTATTAAACTTTAAATTAAATCAGAAATTTAGAGCTATCTAAAAAAATAGAATTATTAGGCTCTAGCTGCTGAGTCTATTGGTTAGGTAGCCAACTGTAAAAAGTTTATGCTTTCTTTCGGTATCTAACATATCGTCATCTGAAAATGCAAAAAGGCGTAACTTTTTTTTCATAAAATTACGTGGGTACTTGTAAGTCCATGAAATGCACAATAATCAATCAAAAAGTGATTTTTGTATTTTTGTTTGTTACGGCCTTTTGCATTTGACACACAAATAACACAACACAAACGGCAATAACGCAAAAATTTGCTTTATTTCACTTTTAAATGGGAAATAATACCAAAATCTGAGTTGTGCTTTATTTCCAACAAATGCTGGAAACAAAACAAATTTTGCCTTATTTCCCATTGCTCATTTATACTATTTGTAACAAAAACAGTTTACTGACAGAAGGAAAAAGAACTTTAGGTGCATTCTTTTGCAACCGAGCTACAAAATAACACTCACTTAAATGACGAAATACGCGCAAAGCAACAACACAAACTCGGCTATTTATCCGAGTTCAGCCAGGTCGGTTAAAAAATACACGACCTGAAGGGTAGTGTTGTTAAGTGAAAAAACTGCTCTATTGTGAATAGTTAATGGGAAAGTGAAGAGGGAAATTTTTGTTTCCTTATATAATTACGTGACTTATTTTAAATAAGTATATGGGAAAATCTTTTGAGACGGGGACTTTTCAAAAAAAAAAATTTTTTTCAATAAGTAGCACAATTTTTTTTTCATAACTGATCACTTGTCAACCCAATTTAAGTACATTATAACCCGTGTAACTATTTTTTTTAATTGCTACTCTATTTAAACCATATTTTCAAAATTGTTTTCTATTATCCCGGTCAAGTTAGATTTTCAAGGTTGCAGTAACTCGCATAAAGCTGAAAATTGGTACGAACGTCATTATAAATGAAATGTGAAAAGTCCTTATCGATCGCAGATCTGTAAAAAAAAATTATTCAAGGTCAAAGGTCACATAAATTGATGTTTACAATTTTTCAGCTAAACCAAAGTGTAGATCGTGCAATTATCTTTAAAACCCGTTAGGCCACTTTTTTCCTAAGAGTCCCATTTCTGACCGCCGCGACGCTGGGCACTTTCAAAATCGTATACTTACAAATCCGTCCATTTAACTTGTTCATGTACTACTTTTGGTCAAATGTAACTGGGTGACTACCTACATAAATATGTGCACTATTTTGCTTTATTACTTAACTAGCAGACCCGGCGAACTTCGTCCCGCCCAAAATTAGATTTTTAATTTAAACATTTTGTTCCAACAGTTTCTCCAACAATCCACATTACGATTTGTACTGCACATTCATCGGCTAAGACTATGGTTTGGTGGTCCGCCTTAAATAACCGAACGAAAGTGTTATGTCCATGAGAAGTTCCCTGGTGGCAACAATGAGCCGGATCTATAGTGAATGTGCCTTAAAAACTTTATTTTATAGTTAGCGGCAATTTCAAAATGAATGCGTATTCTTGTTCAACAGAAATATAATATACACACATAAACTGAGATGAAATACCTTAAAAGCCAGTTTCGCGAAAGCAATTTAAGTGAAAAATGATTTTTTTCTGTCAGGTTCTATATTAAATTCAATTAAAAAATTAATTTTCATTAAATTGCTTTCATAAAACTGGCTTTTAAGGTATTTCGACAGGTGGTGATTTGAGATTTACCACTGCACAACTCAACCCTGGTTTCTTCGAATGAAGCTTTAACGCATAATAATATTGGCAAATCGCATCCATTGGGCCAATCGTAACACATGAGAGTTCGATATACTTAATGATGAAACAGGTCGACTTAGTCTGACCTTTACGGCACCTTTTCTCACTTGTCGATTTTTAGTAATAACTCGACCTCAGCACCACCTTGAAGCACTTTTTTGCAATTGGACTGCCTTTACCGTTTCCAATACATGTTTTGAATATTCGCCAAAACGGATCATGAAAAAGATTTATAGTAATAACTCAGCTCCAGCGCCAACTGGCGGATTAAATTGTGAAACTAAACTATCCAGAGACCCACTCAAACACACACACAAAACTTTGTTAAAATCCCTCCAGCCATTTAAGATTTCACTTACAAATATACCCACAGAAGAATTATATACACATTCAAAGATAAGTAAAAGTCAGTACGTTTGTATTTTTCCACGCCCCCTTTTTAAATAGCCCATTTTTCTCAATGAGTATGGGATTAATTTCATATATCTCCATACGAAGTGTTCCAGTACTATACCATGAACACTTCCAGAGATATGCAGTATGAAATTCGGCTTGTACGGTAGGTGCCACGCCCCCTGTTACAATAGCTCCATATTTCCTCCATGACTATGCAATTAATTTCATATATCACCACACCTAGTTCCAGCAACTCCAATTTTTCTCCATGAGTTCAAAAATTTGACCATGAACGCTTCCAGAAATAGGCAGTATGAAAAATTCAGTTTGTATGGGAAGTGCCACGCGCCCTTTTCAATAGCTCTAATTTTTATCCAAGAGTATGGGATTGATTTCATATATCTACATACCAAGTTCCAATACTCTACCATAAATACTTCCAGAGATATGCAGTATGAAAAATTCGGTTTGAAAGGGAGGTGCCACGCCCGCTTTTCCGATTTTTTTCCAAGAGTATGCGATAGATTTCACATATCTCCATACCAAGTTCCAGAACTCTACCATTAACATTTCCAGAGATATAAGGTATGAAAAATTCAGTTCCACGCCGCTTTTATATATCGAGATTGTTTTTAGCCGATAACCATCCTTTGAACGTCTTCAGCAGGTGTCCGAAATTTCAAAAAGATCGGTTCAGCTGTTCTCGAGCTTTGCGATATACATAAGCCGTGTTTTATTTGTCCAGAAATTTAAGCTATTAGCTTATTTTGTATGGAGGACTTACCCAACATAATTATATTGGCTTATGAAAGGCTAGCTTGTATATTGAACAAGAGGCATTGCCATTTAGCATCAGAAATTTTCTCCTTCAGCCAATCAGAAAGAGGCAAAAACTTACTTTGACACTATTTGCAGTCAAACAACTGTCAAAATTAGGCTAACATAGGAAATAAGCTAATTTCGTTTTATTTGACCAAGATTTAGCTATTTGCTTGTGATGGTTGAATAAAACATGCCTATAGATGGATAAAAGTTGCTGCTTTTGATATTGCGCTCACCTACGTACAAACAAACATAGCAGCAGGGTTTTTATGCGTAATTGTATACATACATATGTATGCACATAAATATGTATTTACAAATGTAAGTGCTAACAGAAATGTTAGTTGCTCCTTGTGGCAACATAAACGACTCTACATACATAATGGTGCATTTACATGGTATGAATCTGGTCATAAGCCGTATGAATTTTCCTATAAAAGAAGCACCAACTCTATGAAGAAATGAATGAAAGCGATATATATTTAACAATTTTGACTTATATACTTGGCAAGAATTCTTTTTGTAAACAAACAAAAAAATTTCATTGTGTGCTAACTTTGAAACTAAATAGAAGCTTATTTTTTTTAATGTGCTTTAAAAAGGACCTACTGCCCATAAAGCCTTGTGAATTGCTATTTTTTCAAATGGGTAATGCCTCAATTCAAACATATTTGTAGATAAACTCATGATACAATAATTTTTAGAAGGTAGTTTCACTTCAAAATTTTTGACATAAACCGTGTCTGTGACAATCACGCAATGTGGCCACTGCTACGATATAGAACTTGGGGATTATCGCTTGTTATTTTAGATATTTTTTAACAGAACATGTAAAGATTTATATGTTTCATAATTTTTATTTTTAATATAAATATACGTATTTTATACATACATTTTTGCCACTGCTAATCACATGAATAAAAATCATAAAAATGAAAATATAACAGCAATATTTCTTGTTTATAATGGATTAGATCCATCGCACACCACGGACTTTATCGGTCGCCAATTTAGATGTGATCGCTAGTCTTTCCATTGCACCACAACTTATTGGTCAGAGCGATTAAGCTGGTGTAATGTGCGCACCTCCATACATCTTCATGTACATATTTCAAGCGAGCCCTATCATTTAAATAGGCGGCCGATAAAGTCTGTGGTGTGCGGTGGCTCTTATAGCTGCGTCCTTACATCTATTCCGTGTGTTAATTAATTTGCAGTTAATTTTTTATGAAGAAAATTATTACAAAATATTCGAAAATTTCTCTTCTTATATGTTTGGCTTTTCTTTGTTTTATTTTTCCAACGTCAAAGGCTGGATTTTTTTTTGAAAAAGTTGGTACAACAAAAAATACGAAACACGTTTTCTGTCAGATAGCTAACATGGCGGATAAGAAGAAGAAGTGAAACTACCTTCTAAAAATTATTGTATCATGGATAAACTATTTTTTGTTCAGAAATGGCTTGTTTACGTTTTTTGTCTTTCATATTAAAAACGTTTGGCATAAGTTGAAATCGTAGGGATGCCGTTTTCTTTGGTTTCTCAATGGATTTTTTACTTGAAAAGGCACCAAAATATACTATATGCAATACTTCTACATATCGTCGTTTAAAGTACAAAACCGCGCATCAAGAAAATGCAAAACCTCGTATGTGAGGTTGCCTAAATTTTATAGGAGTAAGACTTGTCCTAATTAAAAACGGTTCTCTCTTTTAAACTCAATTATCTCTTCTCCTTATGTCTAAATATCGATATTTTATTATAAATGGCTAAGGGCTTGATGTCAGGAGCTTCCGGTGACCAAATATCCTTTTTGGCACAAATTTTAGTTTCGAGGTTTTTCAGAACCACGATGCGCGCTTTTGTACTTTAAACGACGGCGTTACACAATATGTTAAGACTCCGAACGACAATTGTACAGAATACACTCGGAGGTTAACTATTACCGACAGAGGGG